TTTTTTTTCGGCCCGAGACAGCGTACAGTGCTACTGTGATTTGGCGAATGTTCCGTTATTGAAGAGACACAGCACAAGCACGTGCAACGACACAAGGGAAAAAAACCGGCAAAATTTCGCGAACAATCGAATTCTGACAACATTTTTTCAAAAGTCTACGCGGATTTTTGGTGGAATAGGAAAAGATTGAATTTGATGCGCGTTTTTTTATCGATAAAATCTAAGTTGTCGTTGATGACAATCGGAAAAATTCTTGTTAGTGATATGAACACTTGAGCAAACACAGGACAAAAAAAAATCTTACAAAACACGAGAATTTCTACAAATTTTCACTATGATTTTGAATTTCTTTTATTCTGTCGATAAAATTCGGTCGATCGATTGAAAAAATTGGGTAAAAACTTACTCGTTAGACTTTTTTCACGTTCTTTTGTCGATTGAACACTGTCGATTTGATCGAATGATAATTTTTTCCTTCTAGCTCGGTTCACGTTCAAGAAGCAAGTGAACGAGTCGCTGTGTTTGCAACGTATTGGAAACTAATTCTCGTCTCGTTGTGTTAGTATTTTTGTGAGCTAGCTGTGGCGATTCAACGCCATCGGTTCTGCGCTGTGTTTTGGTGTGTGCGCGTGCGATGTTTTATGACTTTATGCAGAATTTGTGGATCGGTGAGATTGTGTATAAACAAATGCGCATCGACGCAGCTGTAATACGAACCGCTGTCATCGGTGTATTGGGCAAAGTGTGCTCTCGTTCGTATGTCTCTGTATTAAGATTTCAAATCCTTGTCAATCGTCGTACGCCAAAAGTCAAGCACTTAGAACAAAACTAAGTGAATAACATCGACAACAGAGAATCATCATCGCACACACAAAATCCATTGATTCTGCGATATTTTCTATTAGTTTTTTTTTAGTTTTTTTCTCGATTGTGATTAAAATGTTGATGACATTTTGCTATAAATACAAACCGTAAGCTGGGTAGCGTTCCGAATATTCATACAGTTGGTTTACACTGAAATTTCAGTCGATTTTGACGGAAAAAAAGACTAAAAACGTTACATCTTTTAACGTTAAAAATGACTAAATTGCGTTACATAAATGTTTCTTGTTCCAGTTTTTGCATTTGTTATTTTTTTTTATTGTGGCGGTAGAAAAAGGAATTACCACAAAATTTGGTTTTTACAAAGGGTTTTACATCCTTCCAAATGAGCTAAAAAATTTTTTTTGTCTCACTTAATATGACGAAAATGCTCCTACAAATTGATCAATACACAATTTAAAAGACGTTATGTGAAATCTCAAAGGCCACAAAGGATTTTTTTTTAAATTGCTGTACATGTTGTAAAATGATCTAATCTAATTAATTCAATCTGAATGTACTTAATTTTATAATTCAGATGCTAAGAAAAATCTAATAGAAAAAGTGAACAGTGTGAATGAGATTATAGAGAATCTCAGCATGCAGTCGAGAGGTTTATTATTATTGGTCAGGATTTTTAAATCGGATAAAATGCAACTAATTTATTTATGTGAAGGGCGAGACGGAATTGAGTGGAAGTAAAACCGGAACAAGTGAGACGGATTGGGGGAAAACTGTTCAACAAAGCGATATAGATGATTTAAGCAAATGGTTTCAAAACAACGGATCTATGGCCGTCGAAGATAAGATTGTAATCGAAATTGTTCGAGAGAAAAAAAAAACAAAATAGAAGAAGTTATCAACGAGATGCAAAGATGCGATGATGATTATTTGTACTTTTAAAGAAAACACTTAGCAATTAAGTAGACGAAGTGAAAAAAATAAACACGGAAATAAAGTTGAGGCAGAAGTAGTTATCATCGTAGCAAACGATCTTGAATTGCAATGCAATGCGGTCAATTGGTTGGATGATATTCAAGTCTCACATTTTTTTTCGGTTTATTAGATAAGTTCAATTTATTACACCGAATTCCACACATTCCATTGTCCGTTCTCTTCTTTTTGTGATTGTATTAAAATTGCATCTATTTATATAATATATATGAACATAATATGTAATATGATGGTGAATGAATGATGCAAGTGGTCAACTCGAGGTGAAGGAAAATGCTAAGACATAAAATGCAGGGGACAAAAAAGAGTGCTGTGACTTTGGAAGTAATGAATGTTTGTGTGCATTTTCACTGAAACGTCAGTTGATCCAAATGAAGAAGAAAAAAAAAGACAGAAGAAACACTTGTGCATACGGAATGAATGAATGAATGGAAAGAAAGAAAATGAGAGAAACAGAGAATAAAACCAATGACAAAGAACATTAATTATGATAGAAAAAAGAATATTTTATTGCTATAATAACAAATTAAATTAAAGCATATATTTATAACATACGCATTCATTGGAGTGAAAAAAAATGAACCGTGAATTCTATTGGAACTCTTTCAAAAGTGCATGCACTCGCGATCTTGTGTATTGGATTGTAGAAATGAATTTTGAAAAGGAGGAAAAAAATCACGAGCTACAGCGCTACGTAATGCATTTTCATAGTCACATCGAACATGCACAGCGTGCACAGTGCATATACAATATACAATACACAATGCACGATACAGTTTGATCCTTTAGCAGAGAGCCGATAGAGTTCACGAAAAAGAGTAAAAAAAATTTCTGTTTGTGTCCAAAGATCAGAAAATGACATGGAAATAAGTGTGAAACAAAAATGTTGAATCGCTGTTCGGATCGTTTGTTTGTCTTCGAAGTGAAAATCTCTCATTTTGGAGCGTTGTCCTGAAGCAGCGACGCTGACCAAGATCATTCACCTCGAACACCGATCCGCTTACAAGTTCGTGCGTGGCATCGACGAACATGCAAATGCAAAATCAACGAATATTATTTATTGTCAATAAAAAACAAAACAAGCATGCACCAAATGTTCGTAATTTTTAAATCATTACAATTTCATAACGTAATTTCACCCCTGATTGTACATGTATTTTGTCCGTAAGAACATCTTTGGTTATTTTGAAATATTGATGATTTCTCTTTATTGAAAATGCGACGAGAGAAAGAAAGAAAGAAAGAAAGGAAAAGAGAGAGAGAGAGAAATATCGAAGAAGAATCATTATTCTTTGTAAAAGCGTTGCGCATATTGTCTAAGAATGTTTTAGATAGAAGGATTGGAATATTATTATAATACAAAACAACTCACTATTTTTTATTATTGACAACAACAACAGAAATAAATGGAAATCTCTTTGAAATTGTTTAGAAAAAGATTTCAATATAGATTAATAAAAAACAAACAGCAACAACAACAACAACAACAACAACAACAAATATTGAAAATTATTTACACTGTGAAAAGGCTTTGAGCCGAGCGCGAACTGCCGACGGCAAATAGATTGTGACAATTGTGACAACAAACGAAAGTAGGATTGAATTGAAATGAAGGAAGAAAATTGAACATTTGAAATTTATCTATTATTCTATTACAATTATTCTACGAATTCAAATATGGTGATGGAAAATGATAAAACAATAAAAAAAAATTAAATAAATTTATGTAATACTACAGAAATTTTAAGAGAATAAAACTGAAGTGAGTGAATTTCAAAAGAAATCTAACAAAATACGTTGTGTTAATATTTTTTCTTCTTCCATGTAGCTCGTTCCTCTGTTTTCTTTTTAATTTCATGATTGTTTCATTTGTCGGGATGATGGTCAGGATGATACAAGACTAACACCGGATTTGCACTGGTTTTGAATGACGTTACATTCATACTATTGTCGCTTCCGCACTATGTTTCAGTTCAGTTGAGTAGACGTAAATTGAGGCATAAATGCTAATTGAAATTGTTTCAAATCAATTCTTTCATTTCGGTCCCGTATTCCAAACAATCCTAAGTGAGAGCGCATGACTTTATAGCACGTGGAATTTGTCATCACCATCAAGCTAATGCAGTCAGTAATTCATTCGGCCGATGATGTCACTTGGCACAGATCATGTGATAGGGCTTTCTTCGTCTTTACCAACGTCAATTCAATTATTTCTCAAGAAAAAACGACTTGTGCAGATAAACGATCTCAATAGGTTTGTTAAGAAAGAATCAGCATTCGTTATCATCGGCGAGCACCACACGCTCTTGTTTATGTCATATCTTCAAGAATGATGCACTCGAGCGACGCTTTTGCCTGGGACGGACATATTTTTTTCAACAAAAAGAAAAACAACCATAAAACGCATTTGGAATAAAAACCGAATCAAATCAAACCAAAAATGGAGGAAAAAATCACACACTTTCAGGCACATATGGGTGTAATAAATCATTCGGACTTGGTCTGTTTGTTTTTTCCCCGTATCATCCGTACGACGAACAATACAATTGGCACAGATTCACACATTTCTTATGTTTTTCGGTTGACATTTGAAAAAGTATTGCCTTTATTGAACTCAAAGGCGTTGGAAGAGCAGGTCAGTTTTTTTTGTTTCTATGTCAAGACAAAGTGAAAATTTGTAATACAAAGAGCCAGCTCACGACTAACTACGCCTTGAACGATTTGTGGCGACGTACTTTTATCGAGTAACATTCGCAAAATAGAAGAAAAACGTTCATTGCGATGACAAGCTCTACGATATGAAAATGCGTTTTGAATTACAACAGACAAACGGTTATGAACGCATTCGATAGCAAACGCTAAAGTCAAACCATTGACCCATTCGCATGCATTCTACGACAGTTGACATACAGATAAACGTTTTTTTGTTTGTTCAAAAAATGTAAATTGAACTGTAATTGAACGTATGTCTGCAGTGTGCAGACATACAAAGTAACATATACACCCACAATCAGTTATATGCACGCACGTCGCACATACACACCGAACACTGTACGGTGCTCGAAGGGGTCTGGCAAAGTGATACTTACAAACACATTCAAATCGTTGAAAGCCTATGGTCGTATGACACTTTTTTTTATCGTCATTCAAACATGGTAAGCCCATGAGATGTAATTTATTGAGATAGAAAAACGTATTGACCAACATTTGGCACATTGAAATAATGTCGTTGTTAAAATGTCAAATGGTTTGAAATCAAATGCAGGTCTTTCTCATATTTGAATGTATTCCATATCTTTCTCTCAGCTCATTCGGTCGAATACAAATAGTAGGATGTTGCATATAGCTGTCCCATCACTGCATATAGCTGTCATACAGTTGTTGCCTTCGTTGCCGTCATCATCAGCGCTGCGCGATACGAGCTCTCTCGTTCAGTTCGTTGTGTGAGTTTGATCAAATTGGACGTGTTTCTAGCGATTAATTTTTGTTTGTTTGTTTTTTAATTTCTTTGTTTTCATTCAAAATAATCAGTAAACTAAATAATTCGCAATAAATTGTCACTTGGCATTGGGAGAATTATTGTTTGAACGCAAAATATACAAATTATCGGTTGCGGTAGGCAAGCAAAATAAAATAAACGAGAAAAGAAAAATCAAGTTGAACCAGGCAGCGATTGACGACAAGAAACCGAAGAAAAAGAGCCATCAAACATTTCCTTCGTTAAATCACCATCGTTTTTTGACGATATTTTTACTTTCATTTTATCAAGTGGAAGATCGAGCAATGCAACTTGGGCCACAGCACACGAATCATCCCAAACGGGGCATTTCCATACATTCAATGTATAGATGGCTTATTTTTATACAGGACAATGTATGATTGACTACAGCAGCAATACAGCATGAAGTCGCCAAACAATGAACCATCATTTTACTATCTTCTTCGTTTAAAATCAAGGCAGCAACAAAATATTCGAGTTCGACCAAATGAAAAAGAGACTAAACTGAGCTGATTTCAGTTGAATTGAGCTACACCAACACACATGCACAGCGCGTACAAGGAAGAAATTGCAGTTTGAATGACGCGAAGTGGGGATATGAGCTAGCATTGCGGATAGAGAAGCAAATAGTGCAATATCAAAAACAGAGCCATTTTAGTCTGCATTCGGATAAATTAAAGAGGTCAAATTCCGACGCCTGAGCCAAAGACGAGCAAAAACAACTGTGAATGTTATGGTGTACACACTTCCTCATGCCCAGTTCTACTTATGACTAACTCACAACAAGAGTTAATGACAGAAAAGGGTGAATAAATTAGAAAGAGAAAGAGAAAGAGAGAGATAGAGAAAAAAAACGAGATAAAACAAAAAGTGTCAATGAAACGACAATGGGAACGCAACACATTGAGTAGGACACATCATGTTTCGACGCTGTGTTTTTATCAGAAACAGAAAATCGACAGACAGCAAACGAATAAAAAGCAAATTCTTGAATGCAATCGCAACAGAATATGTATACAATCGAAAGTGGTCCTAATATTACAAGAGTTTGATGCCCATTTCAGGTGGTCACAATCACGCGCGCGCGCATACACTCATAACCATTCACATTCCAAGGAGGGAAGAAAACGTTTCACGGAACTGAAACTCAACTTTTCATTTTTTTCTCTCTATAACTGCAATTGCAAACAACAAACTACTAAACCTATTTTGATTTTTTTTTTCTTGTTTTCGATTCGCAATTTATGCTCACTTTTGGTATCTTTACAATTTTCTCGAATTTTTGGCTATTTGGTAATAGAGCAAATGGAGATAGACGCTTGAAAAGAGGGAAAAATCAGAAAAATAGCAATGAAAAGAAAAAAAAAACAATTCACCAAAATAGTGGGAAACAATGATAAGCGAATAAGGTAAAACATGAGACAGACTCTGTATGTCTTGCGACCCAAAAAAAATTCCAAATACAAAATGAGGTGAGAAAGAGAGGTACGATTCAAAATGATTCGTTATGTTCAATGTGAATGACGAAGATCGTGCCAATAATTTCGATATTTTGTTCCAACTGAACTTGCTCTTCTCTCTTTTCCACACACACGCACACACACACGCGCACACAATTCTCCTCTCTTTGGCATTTCATCATCATTCGACTGCTATTCGTTTGTGTATGTATGTGTGTATGTGCCTTAGTACCCATACCTATGCCCATACCCATACATACACAGTATTTTACCCAAGCTTTCTGTAATCGCCTTTTGTGGGCATCGCTTCCATTTGTGTGTTTGCTTGTGGAACATCTTCCGATTTTGACATAGAGCATTGGACTCTGTCTCTTTCGTTTGCCCATCCGTTAAATGGTTGTCGCCACTTGTTCTAGTATTGGTTATCGTGTTCCTTGTGTGTTTCCGTCGCTCAACGTTGTATTAGTGGCTGCTCCGTTCAATGTACGCGCACTCGCACTGGCTACGATGTTGATGGCGCGCGCGCAGGCGCTGTCATCATTATCTCGATTCATACGAATAATGTGGCATTTGAGTGTTGTCTACAAGTGTACGAAATAGAATGGCACTAGTTCAGCTGTTTGTGCAAAATGTGAGTGATATATTATGTGGGTATGTATTCATGTATGTATGCCTCAACACAGTCATTGCGGTTATGTTTTCTCTTGCTCTGGCTTCTATCATCAACGTCTTGTAGTTTCGCGAAAGAAAAAAAGCGATATGTGTACGTGTGTGTGTGTGTTGGTTTCTTTTGACTTCAGTTTAATGTGTGGTATTTTTCCGTTGTGAAGTCATTTGCTGTACATGCAACGGTCGAACTAGAAAAATTGCTCACGTCGGACTCATTCACACACGAATTGTACGTCAAATGACAGCAGAATCGACAGTCAGCGAATTATTCAGTTTCTTTTTTCAGTTGACTGAAACGGAATTTTTGGTATAGAACAAACACCCACTATAATATTTTAAAGAGCAGCCCAATGAAAAAAGACACCCAAATGAAACCCCAAATCATTTTCCACCGGACTGAATGATATCGGTGATATAATTAATAAAACGAAAATAGAAAGCGTTACATTTAATCTGATGCAATTCGATGAACGGTAAACGTCAGATATCAGGTGTTAATGATTATACAATAGCGTGGTGTAAGTGAAATATTTTTTTTCTACCAGAACTCGGGATCCAGAGTAAGTCAACAGTAGAAAATTCAACAAGGAAATCCTTCGTACAGAGACAATAAACGCTGCATCTTTTTCTCCGCAAATTATGTGCACGTGCTATTCACTCAAACCGACTAGAATGAAATATAAATGAAGAAGATAGAAAAAAAATAAAATTATCCGTAAGCAAACAAAAAATCCTTCACACCGTACCTTTGATCACATACTTACATGTGACTCAAGGCAATAATAAGTGCATTATAGAATTTTGAAATTGTGTATCATAATCTATTTGTGCTGTGTGTAAAAATATTTTCGTAACTTATGTCGTACCGTGCTCGATTCGTCCATGTGATTGCGTTATTCTTTTAGTCAAGTGAAAACGAAGAGATCGGCGTACAATTTTTACATATATGCAAAACTGAAAATGTTCGGTGCGGCTCAATTCATTTTCTTGTCGTCATCGCTCCTGATACACCAATTGTGAACCATTTCGTTCAAATTCATAACAAATTGTTTGGTTTTATCTTTCATTGAAAACACTTTTTATAAATACTTAGAGATCGTACGGAAAAAGGCCATAAAATTTGGAACGCACGTACGTATCATCAACTGAATGTTCAAATGAGTTTCTGTGTGAAAGAGATACAAAAAAAAACAAGAATAAAATAAAAACAAAGCAGCAAAAACCAAAATCGTGAAAGGTCTTTCCATTGACTGATGTTTTGTTTTTCGGTGGACTGACGACACAAAAGCCGTGAATAATTAAATGAAGTGCAAAAATATTTGAAGATTGTAAAGGGCAAGATAAAACCATATAGAAAAAACAATTTATGATAAAACAGAAAATAAAACAACAGCAAAGCCATATTCATAAAACATTCTACGTGTGGCTAGACGAATGTTGTAGACATCAAAGACGTCGTATGAAACGTTAAATTACAACTACGATAATTGAATGTGCTTGCAAGTTAATCGTGTACGCAACTTTATATCTTCAGGCGATTCAACGATATTTCGCATAGACAGACAGACACAAACACACCAATCTAATCTACATTAAAGCAATTTTCAACGATTTTTATACCAAGGTAAGCAAAGAAACATTTAACAAACTGATATGTTTCCTTATTTTGAGTTTGCTCAAGAGCAATAAATTGTTTATTGATAATTTTGAACCCGCGCCGTGAGTAATTCCAAGCCGTACCATCTGTGTGTTGTTTGCATTTCATTAGATTAACATGCACTTTATCTAACTAGAACTTTGTGCGAACTTTGAATTCAAACATTAGTCTAGAAAATTATTTGAAGAGAACAACATATAACGGCGGCTTCGCAAATCCGTTCGAAACATATTTGCATTTCTAATCATTAATTCCGCACGCAGACACACACACACACACACACACATTATGCCTACGATAATGAATACGCAAATGGACTAAAGAGGAAAAAAAACTGTTTTTTCCTCTCTGTGTGTTATTTTCTGTTTTTTTTTTGCTTTAAATTATTCCATTTGTATATATATGTGTGTGTGTGCAGTTTTGCCATGTTTCCGTTAGAATACACGAATGACTTGAAAATAACAAACATGTTTCTAACTTCATAAAATCTCAAGCACAGAAAAAACATTGCGTGGAATACCGTACTGAGACAGGCCACCGAGCAAAATGATACGGCTGCGAATCGGGCATTGCGGCATTTAAAATAAAAATCAAACAAACTATTGTTTGCTCCAACTCAGTTACCGATGAATGATATTTCCGTTTGAAATTTGCGCGAGTGAAAGTAAAGAAAGAAAAAACTAACATTGTTTACATTTTCTTTTTCCATTCAAACGATAGAAGAAAAAAAACAACAATGAACCATTTTCAATGATCATTATCAACGACCAATTTCAATTTCCATTTGGCCCAAGAGTACAATGGGAATTTCATTGAAAGTAATTATGTTTCTCCTAAAAATCACCTTAATTAGAATGTAATCTCAGCCCAATACTTGACAGCTGCATTCACAATTTTCATTGCACCAGAATATGTCATTCAATAGCAGTAAAACAAAACGAATGCATTTTTATTTTTGCATGCCATTTGATAAAATATCAAGGTTAGATCGCAGACTGTTTGTCTCCGCATAAAAGAGCATTTGAGCATTTTGTACTTATACCAGCAGCTGATGTGTATACAGTTTTTCACTCAATGCCAAGGATTTCTTCTTCATCCATTGAAAAATCACAATCGCAATATTAAATGAACAATTGAACATTCTTTTTGTTCTCACAAACGGAATATGCATCTATATTCAGAGCATAGCAACAGAGCTTTGTTTTAAGTTTGGTTTGATAAATGTCAGTTTCGTGCACGGTTTTTATACATAACAACAGAAGAAAAAACTGTATTATGCATACGCTTGCATCATTCTTCGGATTCATTCAGAGTAAAAACCACTGGAGTTCACTTCCTGACTGGATAGTTCAGCACTGGATTTGCTGATTGATATCGATGATTGGACCGTTTGCCATAGACTAATATCAGGCATTTCCATCTTGGTTGCTGACTGTTTTCGTTTTCATGTTCCTACTATTGTGATTACCGCATAATTTACGAAAAGAGCATGGTTTTTAACGAGGCGAGAACTGATAGTTTTCGAAACCTATTGCTACAAATTGTCTATTATTTTAAATATGTAACAGTCTTGCACTCTTTTCCTGCCAAACCTCAATCAAAACCCACATTACATTCAGCCAGAGCTTGGCGGTGTTTAATAAAAGAAAATAAAATAAAATATTTGGAAGAAGAAAAAAAAACAAATTTAAATTGGAATTGAAATAAATATTTTAAATGAATGTTATATCAAATTTTATTAATGCTTACGCAAAAGCCCGTTTAAATGATTCCAGTAAAAAATACATGAAAGGTTTAGACTAGTTTGAACGAATTCAATGTGGAATAAAATGGCCACAATTTTATTGGATGATTGCCGTTCATCATCGAGCATTAAATGAACAGAACCGGTGCAAATTGGCAACAGTGAATATTAAATATGTTTTTTTCTCGTCTTCTTCTATTCTTATTTTCTTGATTATTCATCGAAATATTCCAGTCTCAATTGGAATTGTTTTTTTTTTGTTCTTGACGTTGGAGTTGATGTCAATGTACCAGCTGTGTTCATCTTGCTCGTAGAATACTCCTATTTCAGAGACTAAATATACCCAAACAACGAATGATAGAAATACTTGAGTTATGAGGTCTGTATCGAGGATCGAAAGGGATATAAATAATAATAGCAAACTTGGGAAATTGAGACTAGAATCGAAGCAGATGGGAAACATTGATAATAGACGAGTAATTCTTTTCTTTTATCGAATGTAGTGACAAACAATGATTGCAGTTACTATTATCATTAAAAAAAATGTAAATAGTTCTTTTTTGTTTACATTTGTTATCTTCCATTTGCCAGCCGTCCGCGTTGTTTCGGTGTTGTTTTTCAAATCCAAAGTCGGTAAACAAAGTCAGTCGCGGCGGCGATGTTTTCACTTAATGGAATATTTTCGAGAGCGAGGCGATTGTCACGCCAGTTGCTACCTGTTCGTTCCGATTGACCTTTCAAGATGAAAGTTAGAGACGAAAATCGTATATAAAAAGTTTCCATCGTCATCAATACTGAGTGTATTCAATGAAAACCCGTTGAGCAGTGTTTTTTCTCTTTCTTTCTTATCGCTAAAGTTCATTCCGTGATGCTGAATATCGATAGACATGCAAGGCAAAAGCTACCATTAAAATTCGATATAACCGTATTGACGTGTATTTTAAAGCCCTGTCTTCAGTGCTATGGGTGAGATGGAGAGTAAAGTATGTTATTTTTTAATTGAATTTATCGAGTATGAAAGGAGAGGGTATTCTTAAAAGGAAGTTGTCCGTAAAAAGAGAGTATGCGTACACGAGAGCATATGCGAAGGATGCTGTGGTTTTTCGCCCAATTGGTAAGAGATAAGAGATAACTGTCAATTCAATTTAAAGAACTCGTCGTGATCTATAGCTTTTCCGAAGACACCTGTGCGCATGAACATGTACTACTACTACCTCTTTTCAATGTGGAAAAAATATAAACTCTTCTCTTTTAAGACAAAGTCCGTCAAATACACTCTACCCTTAATCGATTCTATGTTGATATTGTTGTATTCTAGCCAACATTTCTGATATCAGCAATACAAACATGAAAATATAATACTCATGAAATCGTTGATAAGAAATGAAATTACTAACCATTTACAAGTCTTTGGCGTCGTCTATTGCATCGCCGATTGAATTGATGATAGCTAAATCATAGCATTCGACAGACTCAACTCAAAAATTAAATAACATTTATACGATTTGTTTGATTTTTTGATAAACCCAATAAATGAATGTCTTGATCGTTGAAATGAAATATAGTAGAAATGGAAGAAAGCAAAAGACAGATCACTCATCGTAATATTAACGGCGTAAGATCATGTCAGAACATTATTTAAAGAATGTCTGGGAATACTTCAAGCAAACGCAGCTGTTTTATTTAGCAACAAAAATAGTATTTATCCCATTTTAAATGTGATGGTCAAGAAAGGCTATTCTTTCGAAATTTTCTGGAGGTAGTCCCCGAAACGATAAGCATTCACTGCAATGTAGTTGACATTCAATATTTTACAGACAAATCTACTTGATTACGCATGTCATTGTAACAAAAGGCAACATTCAATTACAACAACAAAAAACGATAAGCTTGAGCTTAATAAGTCTATTTTTACTGCAACAAATGACGATTCAAAAACAAATTTTACATTGAACAATATAGATATAATTTGAAGGGCTGTTTTTGTTTTTATTGAAAATGAGAAATGGTGCATGTTTATATCGAATTGAAAATTGATTCGATGGCATGGTGTTCGCAGACAAACATGTTGTGTCGTGACAAAAATGAATTTCGCTTAATGGACTAAGTTCAATGTTTTTTTTGGATGTATCTCTCACTCATTGTCGGCCATTCATTCGGCCTTGTATATTGAACCACGGTCAATATCGAATCGGACGTCGTACGAATCCGACTGAACTCATTGTTTGTTGCAACTATAACATCACAACATTTTCAATTGGCGAAAGGGAAAAAAAATTATCGAATTTGCTAAATTCACAAACATTTACGATTCGAAGTTCGCAAATGGGAAAAAAAACATTCGATACCTACATATGACGAATCAAACAAAAATTACTTTGTTTATTTGAAGCCCCGTTAATTGCGTGTATTTCTGACAGAATAACATAAAAACAAGCTATGCATTAGAAATAGTCGGTACACGTGTCAACTTCACGATAAATAAGCCGATTTGCTCCGTATTCTTGCTCCCCTCTTGTGACGTAACATGTTTTATGGAGAACTCGTGACTTTTCTATGTCAGAGCACACAATCAAGCACTTGGATTGCTTTGGAGTGCGGTGGCAAAATTACAGACAAACAGGCAAAATTGGCATTTGCATTTGAAAGAAAGTGACAAAGAACGGGAAAAGAATGTTTTTTATTTGCAATAAAAGCTCTTAAAATCCAATAAATTTTAATTACATGCGGATGGAAAAAATTAACATTTAAATATTTAAATTTCATAATTTATGGTGTGTAAAAAGGGAAAAAACCACACGAATATAAATCGATTTATTCATACACATCAATTTTGTTTGTTTGTTTCGTTAAACAGATGTATTTTATCCGAGTTGAGCGCGTGCGTGTCAAATCCAAACTCGTTTCATTCGCACCGAAAAAATTTAAAAGTCACGGCGATATTTGAAACTGTTTTCTCTGATTTATGCCTTAAAATAAAATGTGATGTGTGAAAATGTAAATAAAACAATGCCTCATAAAAAAATCGATATGTTTGCAAATGTTTTACACCTTTTCAAACGAATTTCGCCAAATGATGTTTCGACTCTCAGTTAATGTTTTTGTTAAAAAGATTCCACTCGCTTGTATGTATATATGAACACGCGCCAAAAAAAACACGACTCTTTCAAATGGAAACGCGACAATAACGACATGATGACGACAACATGTGCTGAATGAAAGC